TGAGGAAGAAGTTCATCTCTGTCTGCTGAGCTTCATCCTTTCTGTTACAAATGTGATGGTCAGTATGTTCAGTGCGTTCTGTGTGAGTATTGCAACATCATCCTACTGGTGGTGATCACATGTCACAGTCTTTTGCCATGAATGACCTGTTAATCCGAGTTACTGAAGGAAAGGCCACCACTGTGTAAGGGCACACACACGCACGCACGCACGCACGCACGCACACACACACACACACACACACACACACACACACACACACACACACACACACACAGTCATAGAGAAGTTTTAGTTCTAGTTAATCTTTTGGAAATAAACAATAAAAGCTGCGTTTTTTAGTCCAAAGAAACTACAGGCCAGACTAAGATGCCACAGTGCTGACATTGCATAATTCATGACAGCTTAGACATGATTAGTTGTTGAATTAATGTTCTCGTGTTATGAGATCTAGACGCACATGATTAACATTCATTCATTTACCATGACGTGTTTCTGTGATTTGTGTGTGTGTTGGGACTTGTGACGTATTTCGTGGACACGTTCCCTTCAGTTTGAGGTTCCTGTAGAAAAACTTGCACAGCCTTGTAAATGGTGCCGAATGAACGGACTGAACCAGGAGCTTCTCCGTAGCGTCTCCACGGGTCTGTCAAACACTGAGAGAAGAGCTCAGTGACGCTCCGCAGCAGTTCAGCTGCAAGCCGTTGATCTGGAGCTGTCCTTGGTGCTGAACACCTCAATCCAATTACCCCACCCCCAACCCCACCCCCCTCTGTTCCTCTATTTCTCCTCCTTCAGTCCGGCGACGCTCCCAGACCCCGCCGCTTCGCGCTCGTATTTGATATTCCGTGAGCGCTCGGGTGTTCCCCTCCTGCTCTGACGGTGTGTTTGGGGGCAAAATGTGGCCACGGGCCGGTCTGCGTGTTCTCGACGGGATTCACGAATTAATGGCCGGCGGGGATATGAAGCAGCAGCTGGGGTAACTCACAGGGTACTATGGTGGGACCTCCTGGGAAGCCAAAAGTTGACTTCTCCGCCATGTCAGCTTGCTCCACAGAGGTAAGCTCCACGAGCGTTTTTATGTGTCATCACTGACGCGAGGAGAGCGCAGCAGTTGTGTCTTTCTTTCTGTACTTTGTAAACTTGGAGTGCATTCGCGCATAATCACGAGTTAAGCCTGAGTCTCTTGAATCGCTTGACAGAAGGACCGTTCTCACTTTGGACTGCAGCTGGTGTCCGCAAGAAAAGGAAGAGAAGAAACACGCGGAAGCAGTTCAAAGTAGTTTACGTGATCATTAGTGAGCGCACAATCTCATAATTCTAATGAAGTCAGTGCTTGTTTGCAGACATCAGCTCTCCCGGACTCTGGGGGGAAAACGCGAAAGATGCTCTTCTAGTCGTGACGTAGCAGCTCTGTGTCCTATGAGTGTCCCAGGAGAAGATAGACGGTCTATAATTAACTAAGGTAGACTTGAGCCAGGGGAGACGAGGCCTTATGCCGCTACTGGGATTTGTGGAACTCCATTACACAATCAGATAAGAGTCAAAGGACTTCTAATGGCAGCATAAGCTCTAAGACTAACTGCATAATGGCTCCCTTTTCTAAAAAGCACTGTTTAGATTCCAGATATTCCCTGGAGGTGGATTCAAATTGCTCTTCCCTGTTTAGTGATTTCATCAGAGAACTCTTTGTAATTAAAATAGTAAAACTTCCTGGACTAGCAAATATTAGATTATGTGATGTGCTTTTCAAAATAACTATTCTGATATGACTTTAATTTGCTGTAAAACTCTGCGATCTATCTGCTTTAAAACAAAGCGAAATCATTTACTGGGAGCACATAAGCTGCAGTAAATTCTACAATCCCACATTACATATGTAACGCACATACGTGTGTTTTTAGCAATTTTAGATTCCAGCTGACCAGACATGAGATAAAAACAACAGCACGGGGGGCACAGGGAAGTGACAGCTCGGCAAAGCGTCCGAGAAACACCTTCAAACTTGGTGCTCCAATCGTTGAGTTCCTGAATGTATATGCACATAAAAAGCGTGTATTCCGTTTTATTTATACTGTGCCACTTCAGAATAATTCTGTATTTATTAATTTATTTAATCTATTCTCCTCGGTAGGAGATCTTCTATAGAATAACCTGGTCGTACTGGTGTAATGGCTCATGTCTCTTTTTCCAGCCATGGATCTTACCAGGACTTCTGCTGGCCTGAACACAGAGAGGTGGGCCTGGTGGGCCTGGGCAATCTTCCCCTGACCAGCCACCGCCATCATCTTATCGAGCTCCATACGCACATACGCACACACTGCAAAAGCCTGTGTTTGAGGTGACCCACCCCCACAGTAAGACAGCAGTCAAAGCAAACATGACAGACAAGGTGAGTTTTAGCACGCCCAAAGTCAACCCCCGATCCGCTGCAGCTCCTTTCCTCCCCCCTGAGCCAGTGGACATCATCCGCACTAAGGCCCGCTCACGGCGGGTCAGACTCAACGTCGGTGGGCTTACACATGAAGTGTTATGGAGAACACTTGACCGGTTGCCCCGAACTCGTCTGGGACGGCTAAGGGACTGCAACACCCACGAGTCACTGCTGGAGATCTGTGATGACTACACCCTCACTGAGAACGAATACTTCTTCGACCGGCACCCGGTGGCCTTCTCCTCCATCCTCAACTTCTACAGAACAGGAAAGCTTCACATGATGGAGGAGATGTGCGCTCTGTCTTTTGGACAGGAGCTGGACTATTGGGGCATTGATGAGATCTACTTGGAGTCCTGCTGCCAGGCACGCTACCATCAGAAGAAGGAGCAGATGAACGAGGAACTGAGGAGGGAGGCAGAGACACTGAGGGACAAGGAGGGAGAGGAGGAGGAGCAGGGCTGCTGTCCTGACAAGAGGCAGAAGCTGTGGGATCTGCTGGAGAAGCCCAGCTCCTCTATAGCTGCAAAGGTAACAAGAGCTAAACACAACCGGCACACATGATTGATGCTAGAACGTGAATGAAACCTGTGATAATGTCTCAGGTCACATTCAGGTTTCCTAAAAGTGCACAAGATGATATGTGGGCAGATTAGGTCTGTTACAAAGAAGAGTTATTTGGATAATAGAGAGAAGACATAAGACAGAGGAAGCTGCACGCTACCCTTCAGTATCTACTGAATCTGTGATGACGCTAATGAGAAGCAAGCAGAAGCACAGTTATGAAAGAAATGCACATTTTCTTGATTTTGTTATGATTCTCGATACTTTCAACTGTCAGAGCTAATATCAAAGAGTTTTATTATAACCAGTAACTTCTGGATCTTATCTTTCCTTTACCACAGCTCTTTATTTCATTGGTGCATGAAAAGGTTGTGCGATATAATAAACCGTACTCCAGCTCGAGTTTTTTGTCATTTAGCTTCAAAGTTGCTGCACCATAGGTGTGCTTCATGTTTTGAGGGAAAGATTTATGTATAACCAGTGAGAGCAAAGTTTGTGCTTGTAATCGAGCAGATGTTTTTATTAATCTGATGAAAAGAGTCAATAATTTGTTTTCAGGAAGAAAGAAAGTGGATTTCCAGTGAGTGAGGTTCACAACTGTGTCTGCGCAGTTTCTGTTCAGTAATGTTCTTCACTGAGTTCGTGCCGGACACACTGCAGGTTTACCACAGCAGCCTTGCTGTGCCTATTTTATTGTCTGCAGCAGAGGAGACAGACAGCACACAGACAGCTCCTCCAAGCAGAGCATCAGTTCATTACTAACGATGTGACAGCAGTGTCTTCTGCTGAAAACTAGTCTCTTCTTCAGTTTAAGAAATACAACAAGAGTCCAACAGTTAGGTCCTTGTATATTAGGACACTGACACACGTTTCATTTTTTAACCTGTTTACTGAAACATTTTCCAGTTATAGTTCTATAACAGACATGGACATGATGTGTAGACTCCCAGCTTTCATTCCGAGGGAATCCACGTTCAAATTGGATGAAGAGTTTAGACATTTCAGCTCCTTAACATGTGCCACCCTCTTTTTAAAAGGACCAAAAGCAATTGGACAATTGGCTCAAAGGCTGTTTCAGGCAGGTGTGGGCAGTTCCTTCCTTGTGCCTGGAGCTGATTTGAGGTGCGGTGCTTGTATTTGGAGATTTTGCTGTGAACAGACAACATGTGGTCAAAGGAGCTGTCCATGCAGGGGAAACAAGCCATCCTGAAGCTGCGAAAGCAGAAACAAACATCCATCGGAGAAATTGCTACAATAGTGGAGTAGGAAAATTTACAATTTGGTACATCCTGAGGAAGAAGGAAAGCTCCAAAACACAAAAGGACCTGGATGTCTGTGGAAGACAACAGTGCTGGAAGTAGAATAGAAGTGGAATATTCTTGAATGACCAAGTCAGTCACCTGATCTTAACCCAACTGAGCATTTCACATGTAGAAGACAGACAGGCCACAAACAAACAGCAACTGAAAGCTGCTGCAGTAAAGGCCTGGGAGAGTCAGGAGGAAACTCAGCATCTGCTGATGTCCATGAGTTCAGGCTGTCATTGTCAGCAAAGGGTTTTCATCCCAGTATTAGAAATGAACATTTTATTTTTAGTTATTTGATTTGTCCAATTACTTTTGAGCCCCTGAAATGATGGGATTGTGTTAAATGAATGCTTTAGTTACTTATGTTTTCATACAGTCTTTTTGTTCAACCCGCTGAATGAAAGCTGAAAGTCTAAAGTTCGACTGCATCTGAGTTGTCTCATTTAAAATGTACTGTGGTAATGTGCAGAACCAAAATCAGGAACAACATTGTCTCTGTCCTGATATCTATGGACCTAACTGTGTGTGAACCTGCGAGAAGAAGAGGCAAGAACACAACAGAAGAATTAAAAGAGATATTGTAATATAGCTCACAGTCACTGTAAGCTTAGGAAAACCCACTTAGTCCAAAATAAAGATATAAAGATAGTGACAGTGGTTCTGCAGCACAAATGAGCTGCTGTGGTAGGTAAGGTCCTTGGAGCAGGATCTCAGCTTGAACCCTTCTGGAAAGAGACTTCAGATGTTGTTCTGGAGCCACTCTTACAGCTCGGCCTCTATCAGTGAGTCCACGTCTCTCTGACTTCAGGTACACTTTAAAGTCATCCACACGGGAGGTGGCTGGTAGTTTGTCAAGACCTGTCTGAGGGTGTTAGGGTAGTGGGGAAAGGATGTTACCTTCACATATGGTGACATACCTCCAACTCTATATTATATATATATATGATCTAACTGTAGGAAAATGTGAAGAACAAACGGCTATAAGTGAAGAGGAGCTCATACACAGAAGTCAGTGGGCAAGGGAGCCAAGAAATCGGGGGGTGGATTTTATTAGTGACTCCCAGTTTCTGTCTGACTGACCGAAGAGCTTTGCATGCCAAGAGTAAGCAAGCAGGACAAAGATAGACTTTTCGTAGATGCAGCTTCAACAAACTGGGCTTTATTTGCTTCCGTCAACATGAGCAAACCCAACGTGTAAGTGACAAATACAAGTCTAGAGACAAGGCAGTGCTGGTTGGCATAGCTGATCAGAGTTCCCTGTGTTTAGATCGTGTCGAGCAGATGGAGGGCGATGGCTACTTCATAGTTAGACTCAGTGAGAACCTCTTTATCCTCCACAGCAGGAGGAGGTCATGATGGAGGCAGTGAGACAGAAACAGTTATAATAGCTGTGAGCCGAGTCGCTGTGACACGTGCATTTTACCTGGGAAGACTTTTTTGGTTTGTTTTCATGTTTTTGTGCTCATTTTATAAACAGTCTTGTTACTTTTTAAACTGATTTCCATCAATCAGATAAAAGTAACACACTGTGGAAACCAGTTCGAGACATAGCGAGTTATAGCTGACATCACTGATGTGCTGATGCAGGACTGAGTAAAATTAGTTTCATTACATGGCGATCAAACAAACCAAGCTTTAAGTCGCACATGTGTGTGCGGGTGCTAACGGCTGACTGTGCACAAAGCAGCAGCGTTAGCAGCAATCACACAGAGTATTTTAATCTGTGCTCCTCAGTGCTCTGGAAGCTCAAAGCACCGTCCTCTGTTATGTGGAACAAAAGTGCCTCTATATGACTGCATGAACAAAGTTCAGCCTCAACAATTTGATGCTTAACCTTTAGGACTGGACCGAACTCTTCTTCTTTTTATTGCCTTCGGTGCAGATATTATATTCAGATCTCACTGCAACATCACAAACGTTTAGCTGATTCGTTTCTGAAGTATCAGACTTAGGAAGTATAAGGTTAGGAAACATTTATAGTGACCAAGATAATCTATGAACTGAATTCCAACAGTGACTGATTATTTATATTCAATTAAAAGAACAGAAACATTCAATTTAATATACTCGTATCCTTTTCTACACAATATTTAAGGTGTCTTATATATGTCTATATAATCATTTCCTAATCACCTAACCAAGTTAGTGACAGCTAGTTCTTCCTTCTAAAAATATAACAGCACTGGCCTTTAGCAGAGCCATGTGACCCGGCTGGAACCGTAGTGTCAGCAGGAGGGAAGCCGCTTAGGCCACTCTGCAGTGACACCAGCCATGTGGCAGTGATGCAGCAGCACTTAACCAATAGGAGGGCCTCTTTCCGGTGATGTGAGCGGCTCAGTGCTGCTGCTTATTAGAAAAGAAGCATCACCTGGCTATTTGTAAACCACTGCGCACAGTTTGTCATGTCCAGATGGTCAGCTGTACATCCACCAGCAATAGTTGTACTTTTATTGGATAATATGAGTATTAAATCTTTAAATAATAGAGATTAGTTTCATAAACTTTACATAATCTGTATAATCTTCTTATTTTTGGCAGAGATGTTTTAGCATGTCCTCGTTGCATCCTTTGTTTGACGCACACTCAGGCTGTAGTGTCGGGCTGTTCGGGTTCACTTCTCATCTCTTCCACATGTATTTAAAGCTTTTTGTGCTCCACTGTTATATGATCACCTGTGCATGCACTTATCCTGCACACAGTTTTGTGATGTATTATTATCAGTCCTTTATTTATGCAGGTAAAATCTCATTGAGATTAAAAGACAGTTATGACAGCACACCTGTAATGCAACTGTCCATAGAGAACTATGAGTCTGACTTAGGAGTACGGCTTAATCTCCTTTGGAGCTTTTACCAGGACTGCTGCTGCTGCAAATAGACTAACTGTTGGCAGGTTGGATAGTCTGTCCTGTCCACTGTCTGACCTGCAGTGGGGAAGGTGGTGGGGTGGAGCTGGATAAAGTCACAGACTCAATCTGGCTGTGCAGTTTCAGCATTCGTCCATTTTCTTCTGCTTGTCTGTTCAGCATCACTGATGACGCTGAGCGGTACACGTTCGTTCAGACACGGGGAAGGCCTCAGCTAGCCCGTGGATTCAAATCCAAACCTCATCTGGTCTCCAGCCTGACTCAGAACTGGTTGGATGAAATCCAGTCTAGAAAAACTGATTGATAAGAAGAACGAGATCTTTTTTGGAGTGGAGAAAATGGTTTGCTCACTTTGTAGTCAGGACATTAGAGACACCGCATGCTGTTTAGGGTAGTATGTTAATGCTTTACATACTGGCTTCACCTGTTCACACAATACCTGTCTCTGATAAACCACGGGTCCACACCTCAGCACTTTTAAAATGTTACTGTACTTTATGACCTTTTGCATGCTTGCTGGACCACACAAGGGGAACGTCTGTGATCTTAACAGTTTATGTTCAGCAATGACTTCTCACAGTCAGAGGCCTACTGCAGGGAGCTTCAGTGGTCTCAGCTGTCCACTTTGACTTAAATGTGTTCTTTATTTAGCAAAAATGGGAATTTGTATTTCATGTAAAGCTAATAGGTTGCATGTTATATTTCAGCTTGAAGAGTTGCAGCGTTTCTGCTCAGGACTGATGTGCCTCACTAGCATATCAGCTGTGTATACGTTGTATTGTGTGCAGAGGAGG